ATGCGACAAACATCTAATCCAATTCACACTCCATTTCATGCGACCTTACGGAAAATCGGGTTTGAGGGGGTTGCAATATTTAGTAGGCACCATGTATGATCTTCAATTGGAGCGCCATATGCGCATCGACGGCAAGGAGTTTAGCAGAATTGGAAACGGTTTCTGAAAAACATGAAAATCATAACACACCTTGTTTGCTCAACACTTGAGTAATGGCTGCGGTGAGCGTAGTCTTCCCATGATCAATATGCCCAATTGTTCCAACGTTGTAGTTGGGCTTGTTCACACCTTGAGCGCGTTGCGAGAGGAACCTTATCGAATGATATCCGACTGCATTTTGATGGACGAGTTTTCCTCGTATCTCTATCAAAGAATTTTCGTGGAGAGATGATAGCCTGGATAAACACCTCGATATATGTAGAGCCAGTGGACGAACATAACCCATTCCGGCTTACCCAAGCAGATGAAGTCGATTCCTAAACGATTTGGATAGATTTCAACTGAAATCGAAGTGTAAAAAACGTTCATGGTAACATCAACAAAAAGACGAAAAGGAGGTAGGAACGAGATTATTTGAGGGGATTTCATGCATGTTCAGAACCCCTATATATTCACAACATCTAGACAGCCAGTGATGGTCCGAAAATGAGAAAACTGACCCACGAAGAGTGAGTTCTAGGTCCTTCGAGACAAGGCTCCCATGGTTTAAACGGAAGTTCTTGATTGAATGCAACTTACATTGGACAACACAATGAGGATTGTGAACCAAGAAGCTTCAAACAACACTAGGCACCGATATCGGTCTCCAACTATCTGCTAGTTAAGCAAAACTAATAAGTAAGAAGTTATTTTGCTACTCTACTGAGAAAAACACATGTTCATTTTGATCATGACGCCAACCCACTATCTGCCCTAGATCTGGGCCACGTTGCTTCGCCATTGCTACCCCGAACATAGCATGAAACATATGTGATTCCACTCCCATGGTGAAATGCTATTCAACTTTGTACCCTTTAGAGGAAATCATAAAATAAAGAGGAATTCCCGCAGTAAGTTAGTTATTTTATTTATTTATCATATACGCCATATAAGACAGCGTTGAAAAGAAAACAATTGGAGCCCAGGAATAGGAGAGTAGGAATGTCTGGCGATGTAAAAAGTTGGATAATTTCTATAGTTTCTTTGAAGGAAACTATTTCATTCAGGTCCTGCTAGNTAGGCACTCAAACAGAGATGTGAGAAATCTAGCCAATCTAGCTATTTTAATCGAAGTTTTAGTAGTTAAAAATAAGGGAAGACGACTGAGTTGTGTGGTGTACGCAACCGCGGGAGCTGCGCAAGTGACACGCTCGGGGTACGGTTGGTATTTATACCAGGAAACGTTCAACCAATGTTTTAGGAGATAGGCAGCTCTCCTCAAACGAGGCCAAGTGAGAAAAACTATATCCTTCTGAGTAATATCCGTATCCAAGCATGGTTGAAGTCAGCTACCTCTTTTTCTCTGCCTAACGTTCAACGTTGGGGACGAGATTTCCCAACTTCAACTAAATTTTCAGCTGTTAATGGAAGCAATGAAGCTTAGAATATTTGTAACAGTGTAAGCTGTGGGAGTTTGAGTGGGCTCACGCGCACAGCGGAGCGTGCTTCACGACTGCTTCTGTGGAGAAACTGTTAATTAGGACTAATTTATCTGTACATCGTCTAAAATAGGTCATAAATGCAGCACAACCAAATAAGAGCATCCAATGGAATGGAAAAACACAAAGAGCATAGACACAGGATTAACTAGGCAGAGTTACACACAGGAGATCATTCCGATAGGATATGGTAGTCGTAGCCAGGGCTTCGCCCCCATGGCGGGAGTGAGATCGCAAATGCCGTTCGTGAGCAGTGTACCTCGTCGACTCCTTGCTGTCCTAATCTTGCTTAGCGCTCCGCTCTGAAATTTCGTGGCGAGTCATCTGAAACATTAACATCTGATCGACGCGCTAGTACAGCGACA